CTGGGAAACAGAAATGTCTTTCTTTCTACCCTCTGATGCCTCCTGGCTGCTCTGAGCAAGTTGGGCTGGGACTCTGTTAACGTGTGCCTCCCGTAGCTTCCATTTACCTGGTGGTGCTGTTCTGTGACTAGTGGGGTTGTGACTGGGACAGCAGATACTGAGTGTTGGACTCTTGCTCTTTCAGGGGCCGGTGAGTTTCGAGGAAGTGGCTGTGTATTTCACCAGGGAAGAGGGGGCTCTGCTGGACCCCATTCAGAGAACCCTCTACAGAGATGTCATGCAGGACAACTATGAGACGGTGGCCTTTCTGGGTACGGAGTCCTGTGCCTTCGGTTATTAGAAGCTGTGGGGTCTCTAAAGAACCTGAGTTGTAATAACTTTACACGTTTATTCATCACAGAAGTTTTGAGAAGTTTCCTTGCCCCCCCTTTTTTTGCCTTATCTCTCACCCACTAGTATAATTTTTGGACATGTGCTTTTTGGTGCTGTCAGTCATTTTAAAATTGCATTTAATGTATCCTTATTGGATACATTAATAACTACATTAATAACTGTAGCTTTCATGCATTTTCCTCATTTTAAGAGGAAAATATGTCACCTGTAGAATTCTAAATTGAGTAAATAGGTGTATGACTCATGGATGGCTTGTGTGACTGTCAGATGAGCTCCTCTTTTGATAGGAGAGTGAATAATCTTGCCCTTCAGGACCCCACGGGTGAAGGGAGAACAGAGCTGTGGGAGGGGAGGAGAAGCAGGGGAGTAGATAATTCTGGGGTTCCAGGACGTGGGGAGGGTGTGTGCAGGGTAAGAGCTCAGAAGCAGCAGGGAGGGATGAGGTAGTGAGAGACAAGGAGGGAACATAAGAAGCTCCCACGGTGCCGGGAAGTGGTGTCGGCTGAGAGTAATGGGAAGAAGGGGAGGGGAGTGTGGAGGAATAGCACTCAGGCAGTGGGCTGGGTGGGTCAGTGGGAGGGAGGAAATTTTTAGGGATCTAGAGCTGTGGGGGATCCCAGACCTTTAACCCCGAATCCCTACCCAAGCCTTGTTGCTTTAGAGCCTACACTCCAGTTTTATTTCTGTTCAGTTTCACTTCATTATACATTTCCCCCCCAAATACTATTATTTTAACTCTTGACCTCCCTCTCCCACTCATTACCCCCCTCCCCATGTCTACGCACAGAGACCCTGGCCACCGATCCCCAGTCCTTGCTGCACTCCTCCCTCCCATGGCAGGGCCGCTACCCAGGCACAAATGGGCACTTTGTTGGTGATGTCACAGGGTGGCAGTGTAGCCTGAACCATTTTTACACCCATAAGATTACGTCTTGGGGTACAGCTTGCCCTTGTCCATGGCGACTCACAGTTATTTATATGAATGGGGTACAACTGCTGAGACACTGCATAGCAACCTAATTGTGAAAGCCCGCCCCAAACTTCCTTCTTTCAGAATCCTGTGGTGTATTGCACCTGTTTGTGGTTACTCGTTAGTCTCTCAAAACGAGGGTGCAAAATATCTGACCTCGGGTTCTCTCCTTACGCCTGTTCAGGTAAATCCCAGACTTCAGCATAACTACTCCCACAAAGCCTCAGCCTAATATAAGGCCCTTAACTGTTGCAAGCTTACGCTATGTCTACACTTCCACGGTAAGTAGACCTACACTGTGCAACTCCAGCTCCCTGAATAATGTAGCTGCAGTCGATGTATCTTAGGTCGAGTTGCCGCAGGGTCTACTTACCTTACTCTTCTCGTCAGGGGTAGAGTACAGGGGTCGACTGGAGAGCGTTCTGCAGATGTTTTGGTGGGTCTTTACTAGACCCTCTACATCGACCATCGGTGGATCGATCTCCGAACTTTGATCTCGGCTGTAGTGTAGTCCCTGCCCTTAATAACCCATTTATTTCTGTTCACCTCCTTGCCCCTCCACCCATGTTCCAAGCTAATAAGCAATACTCTGATCATGACATTTTACCTCTAGCGAGTATAAAATTGCCCACAAGACAAGAGACTACGTCATAGATCATAAAATCAGGTCGGGGTCAACAGGAGTGAGAGTTTGGAAAGTCTTTTCCCCCCTCTCCCCATCTGCAGCAGCCACAAGCTGTCTTCCCTCCAGGCTCCTTGGATTTTTGAGCCTGGTCCTCCTGAGGTTGCACTGCCCAGTTCTTGTTTCTTACATTCTCCTTTTCTGGAAGAATTAGAGGCTGTTGCTCCCAAAATTTTGTGTTTAATTCCCCAGCCTTCTCCACACACTGGGAGAGTTTCATTCTCCCTCCCATTACACCTGAGTCACTAGATTTCCTCATTCCCCAGAATGTGCTTTTGCGATGTCACAGTTCTGGAGTAGCTAAGCCTTTGACCCGCCTCCATGGTCGGCTCAAGGAATGCCCCCTCAGGTATCAGGCCTCTAGCCAGCCCATCTCTATGGGTCGGGACCCACATGCCTCTCCTTTTTGACCAGGGTTTGGGGATTGCAGCTTGTCCTCCACTGTGTTCACTGGACTAACCTCCAGCTCCTGTGCTTTGCTTTCTCTCCAAGGGCAGTGAGCTGTGTGTGTGTGTGTGTGATAGAGATGGGTATTTTGGTGATATATGTATGATGCCAATACACACCTCAGTTTCCCTCTGTGATTGGTATTGCTATGCTTATAAAGAGCAGGAGACATGAGGTTTTTTGTCATGTAGCTGTCATGGGGTGATATGAATGGGTCATTAAGGACTGGCTGGGACCAACCTACATCAATGGAATACCCGACAGAGACAAGGGAATAATTGTCACCTGTCCATGGGAGGATCTCTGCTTGGCTGAGTGAAGCATACATGGACTCGTTATGTTTTTGGGAGCAGGAAGAACTGGGCACGGAGACACAGGGAGCTCTGCCGGAGCGAAGACTAATGGACAGGCACAGTGAAAAGAAACCAAACTGTTTTCTTCAGCAGCATGGCTCAAGGGCATTGGCCAGTATGGATTATATTGTCTTCTTCGCTTCCCTGTCCTAATCTAAGGGCTTTCCAGTGCTGTGTTTCAGTTGACTAATAAACCCTGCTGTGTTTTAAAAGTCTGCCCAGTGTCACAGCACAAACTTGCTCTGTGCATTGACTAAGGAACAGTCTCTGAAGAGGAGTGTCGTTCAGCTGGACCTGCTGGGAGAGCTCACAGGTTGAAATAGGAGTGTTGAAGCCAGAGGCTTCCGAAGGGCTGTTTAAAAGCCCAGGCATTGCACAGATCCATGACAGTGTGCCTTATGAGGTGCATTGAAGCATTAATGAGGAACAGTCTCTGAAGAGGAGTGTCGTTCAGCTGGACCTGCTGGCAGAGCTCACAGGTTTATACAGTAATATTCTCAGCTATACCTTAACCAAGCATTGTACTGAAATTTAACTAACCAATCTGAACATGTTGTAACACAAATCTCTAACCAATTATATCCCATTACCCTAATTAACGTACACCTGACAAAATTAATTATATAGGAGACAGAAACAATTTGAGAACCAGACTGATTAACAAGGTAAAAGTGGTGGCCATAAAGATAAAACAATACAGAAATGAGGGTTTCACAACCACAACCATTGATAAGTGATTTCTTGCCAGACAGGATGCTATCAAACTACGTTTTCTTTAACCATCTTAAGATCTGTTTCTTTATCTGGTGGTGATGGGCACTATCCGGACAGGATCGTCTTCCTAACAGCCCAGTACCACCTTATGTCAGTGTGACTGGTTTGGGATATGAGGATGTGACCCTATGCTTCCCAGCTTATGGCTGCTCCTGCTGCTTAGCCAAAGGCCTTAGCCTAATAATAAGGCCTAAGACTATCCTCGTGAGAGAATGCCCACACACAGGTGGACTGTGATTTTGATTCTTTGTTTTTATACCCCTTTTCAGTAGCTAAGTGATAAAAATACACCTAAGTTCTTAAAGTATAAGCTTTACAGGCAGTCCTGAATACCTATATTCTAACAGTAGGTTCTACCCCTTCCCCCTTCTGTGTCTGTCTTGTCTATTTAGATGGTAAATTCTTCAGGCCATGGGCCATCTACTATTCTCTATTTGTACTTTGCCTAGAACAATGGGGACCCACTGTTAGTCGCTCCTTAGGCACTAAGGATTTAGAATAATAACTATCCTGCCACTTTGAGCCAAAGAAGATGGCCTTGGAATGTTACTGCTTAAAAATAAGTTGGGATTAAAACCATGGAATATTCTTTGCGACAGGTATCCCACAAATTCCACTGACCTCCCTTGTTTTCTTTCCCTGGAGTAGGGTTTCCAGTTCCCAAACCTGATGTGATCTCGCAGCTGGAACAAGGGGAAGAGCCCTGGGTCCCAGACCTCCAGGGCTCTGAGAAAGAAGTGCTCCTGACAGCTGCCTGCACAGGTGAGGAATTGGTTAAACCAACTCAAAAACTGTTTGGGAATGCAGGAAACATATGGGATGCCCTACAAAGACCTTGTGAGCTCTCCAACTTCAGGATAGTTCCCTGCAGAATGGAATCATTATGGCAGATGTCACTCATGGCCTCCCACCTATTCTGACTGCCGACTGGCAGCAGGTCCCTCCCCGATCTCGCTTTCCCCTGAGTGTTCTGGTGAGATGCAGACCAAAACTGATCCCTTCTTCTCTCCTCTAGGAAAGGGTTTGGGGAAAATCAGCTCGTGATAGGTTTGATCTCTCCCACACATATTTTGGTTTGTTCATCTCTTTTTCCGTTCCTCTGTCTGAGATTTCCTTTCTTTCCGGTGCAGGGAGTGACTTAGGTCTGGATTCTCTCTGTCTCCTTTCAAGTGACGGGATGGTGAGTGAGAATGAGGAGGAGACACCCCAGCAGGAAGATGCTGAGCAAGTAGAACCCCATGGGATGTTATCAGGAAGATCGAACGGGAATGTTTCCGGGAGTTGTGCACTCCCAGAAAAAGCAAAAGCCTGTGAGGCTCGGCAGAGGCCAGAGGAAAACTTGAGTAGCCACTCAGCCCTTATTACATGTGAGAGAATCAACTTGGAAGAGAGACACTACACTTGCCATGAATGTGGGAAAAGCTTAAACCGGAGCTCAGACCTTCTCACACATTGGAGAACCCACACTGGAGAGAAACCCTACATGTGCTCTGAGTGTGGGAAAAGCTTTAGTCAGCGCTCAACCCTTATTACACATTGGAGAACCCACACTGGAGAGAAACCCTACACATGCTCTGAGTGTGGGAAAAGCTTCAATCGGAGCTCAAACCTTATCACACATGAGAGAATCCACACAGGAGAGACGCCCTACACATGCTCTGACTGCGGGAAAAGCTTCAATCAGAGCTCAAACCTTATCAGACATCGTAGAATCCACACAGGAGAGAAGCCCTACACATGCTCTGAGTGTGGGAAAAGCTTCAGTCAGCACTCGCACCTTATCTTACATTTTAAAAAGCACACAGGAGAGACGCCCTTCACATACTCTGAGTGTGGGAAAAGCTTTAGTCAGCAACCACAGTTTAGCAGACATCGTCGAATCCAAACAGGAGAGACACCCTACACGTGCTCTGAGTGTGGGAAAACCTTCAGTCGGAGCTCTAAGCTAATTATACACCAGAGAATTCACACGGGTGAGAAACCTTATGGATGCTCTGAGTGTGGGAAATGCTTCATTCAGAGCTCAACCCTCATCATACATCAACGAATCCACACAAGAGAGAGGCCCTACATATGCTCTGAGTGTGGGAAAAGCTTCAGTCGGAGCTCTGACCTGATTACACATCGGAGAATCCACATGCATGAGAAACCTTATGGATGCTCTGAGCGTGGGAAATGCTTCATTCAGAGCTCAACCCTCATCACACATCCGCGAATCCACACAGGAGAGAGGCCCTACATATGCTCTGAGTGTGGGAAAAGCTTCAAAAACAGCTCATACCTTATTAGACATCAGAAAATCCACGTGAGAGAGAACTGTAAGAAATGCCTTGATTAGGGCTGGGCAAAGATTTTTTTTTTAAATCACATTTGCTAATTCTCACATAGTGATCTGTGCACCATCTTCACTGTGGTCTGTCAGCTCCCTGAGATCAGTTGCCTGCATCTGCCTTTTGCAGCTCACCCTTCTTTGGGGTCAGTCCTGTGATCTTTTCAACTGCTTTCCTTTTGAGTCATAGGAATGTGTGTCCCTCCAGCCAGGAACATTCAACAGCTCCCAGATGGGGAGAGAGGTTTGATCCCAACAAGCTTCACTGAGTCAAAAACTACCCGTGCCTTACATCCACTAGGTCTGTACATGGCTTTGGCTCCTCAAGTGTGTGATCTTGGTGTAAAAGGACAATTCTAGTGGTAGAGCAGATGCAGCTCAGGTGCAGTGTTTGGCATTAGCTTTCCCCTTGACCTGACCTAAACTCCATCACTTTTCCTAGTCTAAACAAACCCTGAGCATCACAGTTATACTGTTCCCCCATTTCAAAGCAATTGTTAGTCATCAAGTTCCCCCTTCGGGAACAAATGATTTCATTCCCAGTTGCTCTGATGTTGCTTCAGGTTGTGTTGGAGAGCAGATTTTTTTTTCCTCCCTTAAAATATATTGAACTATAATAAAGAAAATATAATATATATATAAAATAATAAAAAAGGAACAGGGCAGGGATAGGGGAAAATGTCATTTCCCCTCTGTAACAACAGAAGAAGATAGGGTCAGTCAGAGGGATTCCCTTATTCCCCATCACCATCCCAATCCCCCCCGTTGTTCAATTGCTTAAGTTAATTTTTTTTCTAAAGGGCTGGGAAGAGGATTCCCTAGTAAAAATAACTTGTAACTAAGCAAAATACCCATGCACTTGGCTCCTAAAGCAGTTGTGGCCCAGGTCCTGCAGGAGGTCGCTCCTGAAGATATCTCCTTCCTAATCAGATGCATGTTGCCTATTATTTGGGAAATGCAATCCCTATCTAGGTCGGGATGGGAAAAATGGAAGTGACGTTTCTGTTCAGCTCACCCCTGGGAGATCCTGCAAACGTGTAGAAAATGAAATCCATGTTGAATGGGATATACCTGCAGAAAGACACCTATTGTTAATAGATACCTGACATTTGGTGTCTTACAGGGATTCTAAGCAGCACCTGAATTTAGTCCCTAATTTAAGTCTGTGCCACCAGATTAAAGGAATAAAAGGACATATTTTGGGGAGTTATAACTCACTATCGCTACTGATATGTTGTGTGGTTGGTGAAGAATTCTGCACCAGAGAAGTGTAAAATTACTCCAAGGAAGGTCAAGGATTTGACAGGAACTCAGGTAGAAATTGCACGTGCTAGTGGTTGATTTTCACCCCAGAGATGGACGCTATGGTGACCTGTGGCCCAGGTAAACTATTTTTAGAACGCTGCTCCCTAGTTAAGTGGCACTGATCACACTCCTACAGGATGCCATGATTACACTGGGCACAGCTGTCTTTTACCATTTGGATCCAAAGTTTCATGAAGCACAGAAAGAAACAGCTGATTCCTTCAGAGCCATTCCATGCTTATTGGTCCCAATCTGGCTGCCTTGTTGGACAAGAAGCACTTCCATGCTGGGCAAATGATGGTAGCCAATGAGGGAATGTATCGGATTCCCAGTTCAGACTGCAGGATACATGAATGCTAAGTCCAGAATCTGTGGTTTGGTCTCTTAGTTTTGCTGTTAAGTCTAATGCATTTGTATCACTTCTTCTCCTGCTGCTACTTTGAAAGATTAGAAAGTGTGAAAATAGAGCACTGGTGGTTTTTCTCATGATGCGATCTTCCTGCGTAGTGTGAGACCCCTTCCACCCACACTCATGGGAGAAGACCCAGGGAGAAATGAACTCACAGAAATGGAAGGCTCCTAGGTTATTGTAGAATGTGACTTCACACAAAGCTGACTGGGTGGAAATGGGTATTAAGAGAACACTGCCCTATCTGTTTATATTTTGTAATTGGTGAATAAGTTGTTACCAGCGACAATGAAATTAAACATGAAGTAATTTAGTGTAATGGAAGAAGCTGATCATGTGATAACTTTCAGAGTTACAATATAATTCAATTTTCCTTCTTGTTCTCTCCCTGCCCCCTTCTACTACATAGGAAATGATGGCTAATCCTGAAATTAAAACCTCACTCCAAAGGAATTAGAGTGGGGGAATATGTGAGAGAAATAGTATGTATGAGAATAGAGTCCCAGTATAGACTGTAATTATTTCTATTTAAAATGGAATTTATTATAATACATTTTAAAATAAATCTTCCCTGAAGAAGAAAATTACTTGAGGCAAGATGTGGAGCCTTTTACCGAGTTAGAGGGTAACAGCCACAGAGTTCCCCAGGGCTCTTGTTTGCAAAGCAAAGATGTCACATCAGGCAGGAGATGTCGAAATCTACAATGGTGATGGGCGTGTGATGGGAGCTTTTCTGGGGGGTGGATTTTTTTTTTGTTTCATTTTTTTAATTTAATTTAAATTTTTCAACGAGTTATTTTTATAGGTGTTGAGCACAACTGTTAAACCCTCAGGCCTGACTTTGGAAACCTCCCCAAAGCTGGCCTTGTGTGTCTTTTATGTTTGATATCTTTGGGGTTCACACATTCACACTACATGTGGTTCACAGCAACAGATACTTTGAGGAACCTGCTGGGTGAAGCAGGCCTTTTCCAAACTGACATTGGCCCAAAGTCTGCCTCAATTCAGTTGGATTGGGACACGTCTGTATCAAAGGAGTGGTTCACACCTGATTTGTCCAGAGACCTCCGGGGAAGTGTGGTAAGATAGGATAAGTAGGAATCAACAATTTAATAATGTTAAAGGTAAGGGTGACAGACCTTCACCTTGCAGGTTAACAAGCCTGTTCTGTTCGTTCCCTCCGACGCATCTGGCACTGGTCAGTCTCATGCAGCACGCTGGGCTAGATGGATCATTGGTCTGACCCAGTATGGCCAGTCTTGCGTTCTTATGTAAGCTATCTAGGGCCTTGTCTACACTGGCAAGTTTCTGCGCAGTAAAGCAGCTTTCTGCGGTGTAAGTCCCGAGGTGTACACATGGCCAAGCCACTTAGTGAGCAGAAACTGTGAAGTTGCAGTGCTGTAAAAATACCACCCCAATGAGAGGCCTAGACCTTTCTGTGCAAAGGCTACAGCATCGTGGTGCAAGTGTAGACACCCGGGTCGATCACAGCGCTGCGATTGGCCTCCAGGAGGTGTCCCACAATGCCTGTTCTCGCCTCTCTGGTCATCGGTTTGAACTCTACTGCACTGACCGCAGGTGACCAACTGTGAACCCCACACCTTAAATTCCTTGGGAATTTTGAAAATCCCCTTCCTGTTGGCTCAGTGACGCATGCAGTGGTCTCAGTGCATCTTTCCAGATGACCACGCCTGCTCCACGCATCAGGCGATCCCCATCTTGAAGCAATGTTGAGCTGCTGGACCTCATCAGCATTTAGGGAGAGGAGGCTGTCCCCTTCCAGCTGTGCTCCAGCCATAGGAATTATGGTATGTATGGACAGATTTCACGATGCATGAGAGAAAGGGGCCATCACTGGGACACACTGCAATCCAGGGTGAAAGTGAAGGAGCTGTGGAAGGCCTACTCCATGGCGCGGGAGGCAAACCACCACTCTGGTGCTGCACCCATGACCTCCCAGTTCTACAAAGAGCTGGATGTGATACTTTGTGGTGACCCCACCTCCAATGCGAAGTCCAGTGTGAATACTTCGGTGGCTCACTTGCCAGTTGAGAGTGGACTGAGCCAGGAGGAGGAAATCTTGGATGAGGAGGTGGAGGGAGACCCAGAGGCAGATGATGAGTCAGGGGTCAGAGATGCATGCAGAAAGGAGTTCTTCTCTATCCCGGAGGAAGCTAGCCAGTCACAGCTGTTGGAGCTTGGTGAAGTGCAAACAGGAGAGGAGGCCCCTGGTAAGTGACTTCGATTTTGGGAATCCACTGAAGTGAGTTCTTCGGGGCAGGAGGGTTGCAGAAAGCAGGCTTGTGTCTGTATGATGTGTGTACCAGCATATGCCTAGTCTGAGCGGCGGAACAGGGTGATTATTGACTCCCTCGCTTCACTGGAATCTGCCCCAGAGATCTCCATGAATCTCTCCTGAAGATACTGGGCAACCCATTGCCACAGCTTTTTTGGCAGAACTGCTTTGTCTCTTCCCCCATCAGGGTAACTTTCCCGTGCAACACTGCCTTCACTGGGGAGGAGTGGGGGAGACAATTGCTTCACACAGGCGAGCTACTTCAGGGCCAGGGTGGACGCCGCAGTCTTGGAGAAGATCCTCCCTTGATTCCCTGCTCACCCTCAGCAGCAAGATATCTTCCATAATGAACACAGCTTGTGGAAAATGTGGGCACAGGAATGATTATAAGGCCCTTTCTACAATGCTGTCTCTCCCCACAGCATTAAGGGGTAAGCAGGGTCTCCCAGGATCTCAATGGGTATTTCAACTTCCCCTACAGTGATCTTCTGGTCTGGGAAGAAAGTCCCTGCTTTCAGCTTCCTGAATAGGCCAGTGTCCTGAAAGATACGTGTGTCTTGCCCCTTTCCAGATCAGTCTGCGTTAATGTCCGTGAAACACCCACAGTCATCCACAAGTGCCTGGAGAACCATACAAAAATACCCCTTGTGATTAATGTACTTGGTGGCCAGGTAGTTAGGTGCCAGAATTGGAATATGCATGCCATCTATCCCCCTATGGAGGTAGGGAATCATATTTGTGCAGAGTCATCCACAATGTCATGCACGTTGCCCAGAGCCTCAATCTTTCAGAGCAGGATGCAATTAATTGCCCTGCACACTCGTCAATATGCATCCAATGGTCAACTTTCTGACTCCAAAACTGGTTAGCAACTGTCATAAATATGAAGGGAAAGGTAACCACCTTTCTGTATACAGTGCTATAAAATCCCTCCTGGCCAGAGGCAACATCCTGTTACCTGTAAAGGGTTAAGAAGCTCAGCTAACCTGGCTGGCACTTGACCCAAAGGACCAATAAGGGGAGAAGATACTTTCAAATCTTGGGGGTGGGAGGGTGGAGAGGCTTTTGTTTTGTGCTCTTTGTTTACATTTTGTTCTCACTCGGGACTGAGAGAGGCCAGACAGAAATCCATCTTCTCCAACCCATCCTAATCCAAGTCTCCAATATTGCAATCAGTATAGGTAAGCCAGGCAAAGCGATTAGTTTATCTTTTGTTTTATGTGAATTTTCCCTGTGTTAAGAGGGAGGTTTATTCCTGTTTTCTGTAACTTTCAGGTTTTGCCCAGAGGGGGATCCTCTGTGTTTTGAATCTGAATACCCTGTAAAAGTATTTTACATCCTGATTTTACAGAGATGATTTTTATCTATTTTTTTTAAATAAAATCCTTCTTTTAAGAACCTGCCTGATTTTTCCATTGTTCCAAGATCCAGGGGTTTGGGTCTTTGATGATTTTGTAACCAATTGGTTAGGATATTATTCTCAAGCCTCCCCAGGAAAGGGAGAGTGTAGGGCTTGTGGGGATATTTAGGGGGAAGACGTCTCCCAGTGGTCTCTTTCCCTGTTCTTTGTTTAAAACGCTTGGTGGTGGTGGCATACTGTTGAAGGACAAGGCAAAGTTTGTACCTTGGGAAGTTTTTAACCTAAGCTGGTAAAAATAAGTTTAGGGGGTCTTTTATGCAGGTCCCCACATCTGTACCCTAGAGTTCAGAGTGGGGAAGGAACCCTGACAGCAACTAATTGGTGGGAGTCTGGAGTAGCCAGCTTCCACGGTGCAATTGCCACGTGCTTCTCCGATGACAGGGCAGCTCTCATTCTCGTGTCCTTGCACTGCAGGGCTGGGGCAGGCTCATCACACAGTCCCGTGAATGTGGCTTTCCTCATCCGAAAGCTCTGCAGCCACTGCTCATCATCCCAGATGTGCATCACGATGTGATCCCACCACTCTGTGCTTGTTTCCCGAGCCCAAAAGCGGCACTCCACTGTGGTCAGCACCTCCATGAATGCCACAAGGAATCTTTTATCGTAGTTACTACGGATGGCAATATCAATGTCTAACTCCTCTACCTTTGTAGTTTAAGGAATAACTCCACTGCCAGTCGTGACGTGTTAGTAAGTTCGGGATCCATTCCTGCAGAGCGCACAGTACACAAATCATTGAAAGGTGGCACCAAATGTGGACGGAAGCACAGGGATTGCTGAGATGGGAAGCAATGCATCACGGGGCATTCACGGAGGTGCTGACCACAGTGGAATGCCGCTTTTGGGCTCAGGAAACACCTCCCTCCCACCTTCCCACAACTCTTAGCGGCAGAAGAGAAAGAGGTGCTCAGTGGGATAGCCGCCCAGAGTGCACCGCTCCAAGTACCGCTGTAAGTGCCGCAAGTGTGAACACACAATAGCGGTTTCCCTTCAGTGCTCTCTGAGCGGCACTGTAACTCCCAGCTCTGTAACTCTGCCCGTGTAGACGTAGCCTCAGAGAGACTGATTGCCAGGATCCCAGCACTGATCCCCTCTGGGGAATGAGTCACAACGTCAACAGGCTCTGCAGCCTTCACTAGTCTCCCTGCACCTGAACAGCCTGCTAGCCCCACGTGCTGGACCATCTATTGCATTACCTGGTTCCTAAACTGCAGCTACGGTTCCTACTCCAGGTGAATCCAAAGACCGA